GTGTGTGTGTGTGTGTGTGTGTGTGTGTGTGTGTGTGTGTGTGTGTGTGCGCGCACGTTTTTGTTAGCAAAATATCTCAAGGTCCAATAGCAGATTTTATTGAAACACATAAAGCTATCCTTGGAAAATCATCTGCAGCTGACTACTGTAACTTTTAGAATCAGCTCGATTCAAGTCATCTTTATCTAACCCACCAGTGGCTGTAACTCAGTGATTTTTACAGAAGCTGAGCTGGAATATGATGTGGTAGTAGCTGAGAGTCATCCTCAACACATACTGCAAGAGCTAATAGATCACGCAAGGCAGGAGTGTCAAACTCATTTTCACAGAGGGTCGCATGAGCATTACAACTCGCCCTCAAAGGGCCAGTTGTAATTAACTTTGACATTTCACGTTTAACACATCCCCATAAAAACATTACTACATGTACAACTGACGAATGTGAAATAAATAAAACAGAAATACTATTATAAATAAAAGGAAAAGAGAGTTTTACTCTCTGTTGAGCTGTGCTGAGGAGCTGCCGTCTTGAGTTCTGAACTCTCGCATTTTCAGACGGAGAATTCTCATGCATAACCATGATGCATTATGGGAGATGTAGTTTATGGTCAAAGCAGCTTTTTTTGAGATATTAAAACAGAGCTATTCAACAAAATGACTCAGGGGGCCACAGTTATTCAAAGCCAACAACTCAGGAGCAGGACAAATAATATTTTTCACTTTTTAATGTTTTATATTTTGTTGCATTGATTTTTAAAATTAAAGGTAACCATTAATATAAAAACTGTTTTCATATTAAATAAGGTAGTTTATTTATTTATTATATTTTTTTTACTTAAATCAATATGAAAATAGTTTATATCCACCCCCTTCAGTGGGCCGGGTGGAAGTCACCCACAGGCCGTATTTGACTCGCGGGCCTTCAATTTGACACGTGATGTAAAGTTTTGGTTGAAACTTTAGCATGCGGAAGATGACAGGTGATAAACATCTTTTTCAAGGAACAGTAGTTTTATTCCTAATAAAGCATTTATGTGTCTGATTTCTGACTAAACACAAGAAACTGCAAAACCATGTGAGGTTTTCAGTGCCTCTTCCGCACAATGAGTTCTTTTTTAAAGAAACTGTCTCTAAAATTCAAAACCTGTGTCTCAGATAGTAAAAGTAGCACCTCAGAATCAAAGAATAAAGCCCCCTCTCTGCTTTGTACCAACATTAAAAAAATCATGCAGCGAGAAATCCATCATCGGAGATGAAATTCTGTTTTTACATTTTTTTTCTAACGCTGTCAGGTCTGAGAATAAACGCTCTCGCTCTCGAGTCTAATAAGCTGATCCTGTGTTGTGATTCTTTCAGTGTGACGGTGATATGGGTTGCTGCACAAAAACACCATCAGCGTGTGGGTTTTCTTAATTATTTTTTAAAAAAACTTTACAATAAAAGAACATAAAAACAGATAATTCAATGTAGTCGATTGGCTGATCACTTGAAAATGCAATAACAGAAGATGTTTTTTTCTGTTTTTATTTTTAAAACTATATTAGTTCCCACAGAGAGAAACTAAATATATAATTATTAGCAGTGGAAATTGTGCTGAGATTAGCTCAAGTAAAATATGAAGCCATAACGTGCTTTTTTTAATCCACTTATTTCACACTGAGGACGTGCTGTTAAAATCATAAGGTAAAAGAAAAATGGAAAGTTTCTCTCTCTGATTTGTCTGGATTTTTATTATTATTTTTTTTTTTTTTTGCATTTCATCTCTAAAGTTCCAGGAACTTCTCTTTTAAAAGTTAAATGATACTGCTGATTTGACATGAGGATGAGTGGCACAAAAATGTTTGTGATGTGTTTCTTTGAAGGACATTAGAAGCTACTTTACATGAATAATTCTTAGTTTCAAGGGGATTACAAGAACAACAACAACAAAAAAGTTCTCGCATTAATGAACAACCTCCCCTTTCCTTTTCTTTGCTCTCCTCAGGTCTCCAGGGCTGCAGGCGTTTTCGGTCCTCTGCAGTCAACTACAGCACTCTGCTGCTGGAGGCTGACAGCGAGCGTCTCTACGTTGGGGCCCGGGGGGCTGTATTCGCTCTCAGTGCCTCTGACATCTCAGCCAGCTCTGCTCTGACCGTGAGTTTGTTTTGTTTTGCACGTCGAGCGCCTCGGCTGCCATGTATCTTTAACTCTGCATGCAGCTTCGTTTGCATCCCGCAGTACAGAAATCCGCTGTCATCTGTTGGAGTTATTTGTGTTGTGTTTTTACTAAATAATTCACATTGATATATTTCCTGTATAAATCAGTGTGTTGGAGAAAGAAAATTCAGCTATGAGTCATATTAAAGTCATCTTCAGAATATACAGTAAGTTGCGTAACATGAACCTCAGCTCTTGTGTTTATCTCAGCTCATATTTAAGTTGAATATTTCTAACTCTTCTAACTCCAGGAGATTAAATTATAAATATGGGGGCAGCTGCCAAGGTGGGTACGAAGCGGGCTGAGGCTGGTGGGCGTAAGTGGGCAATGAAATAATAAAATATCGTTTTCCAAGTTGTGCACACAGAAATAGGATGTGATGTGTTTGGTCACAAACACTCAGAATTCAATGAGACTGAAGTGGAAAATTTGCCAATTTTCTCGCAATTTTGAGTCACCAATTAACAAATGATATTTACAGCCAAGTAAGATCTTTACAATTCAGTTTCTATATATTCTACAAAGCCTCCTGCTTCCATGTTCAGTGGGAGAAAAAAATGTGACAGTGACTGGGTTTGAGTCTTTCAGCTCTGCCGCAGCAGGCAGTGAAGACGCAAATGACGTCTGCAGCCATTTTTACCTCACTTTGGCTGTTTGACACCAAAACAGTAAAAACAAGTAGTTCAGGTTCTAATCAGACAAATGGTATGTTCTAGTGAGGTACCGTATTTAATTACAATAAAGGTGAAGGCTTTAAATGTAAGATTTGATTTCATTTCCTCTTTAAGTTTGAGCCTCTGTTGACACACTGTCTCAGTGACTACAAATACTCTCAGCAGGCACTTAGAGTCCAAACAACACTCAACTTACTCAACTTATCCTTAACTTAACCTCCACACACACACACACACACACACACACACACAC